GAGTTTGAAAGAGAATATTGGTACATGTTATTAACCTTTCCTGTAAACAGATATGTGAATGTAGTGGAGCATGCAGTGACAAAATGATGAAAACTTCTTAGATATTATCAAACATCTTAAGACAATGAGTTATTGGGCCTGAGTGCTCAGGACTATTGTCTCAAGGACACTGTGGTCAATTGGCATAACATAATCTACAAAGACAATGTTCTACATCCTACTTTGTTGAGTAGCATCTTGGATCTGAAAAGCTCATGAGTGGCTGTCTAAGTTGCAGTTATTGGTCTCTCCATGTGCAGAGGAAAGATGAGTAATGAGAAATGAGGAAGCTTGGAATCAATTAGTCCAATGAACTAATGGAACATGTGGACATCAGTCTCCATGACTCTGGGACCAGAAGAACTAGATGGTGCCTGGTTACCATTTCCAACTGCTCTGAAAGGGATCACATTAGAAAGTTCCTGATAGAGCAGCAGAATATAGGGAACAAAACTAAAAATTATTAAAAAGAAAAGAAAAGAAAAAGACTAATCTTACTGCAGGAACCTGAAACTATGACCCTTCATGAAAATTAGGCCTTGTGGCCTAATTTTCAGCCAATCAGTACATAGGTATTTAGGTGGGACAATAACACTAGTATGGGATGCTCACTATGAATGATCAATCATTCAACATCAAAGGCAACAGTTAGTTAAGGACAAAGTTGAGAAGGGATGGGATGGTAGGTGGAATGCAAATAGGAACCACTAAGAGGAAGTAAGAGCTCTGGTAGCGTAGTGGTTACGAATCGGGCTGCGAACCTTAAGGTCAGCGGTTCAAAACTACCAGCCGCTCCGCGGGAGAAAGATGAGGCTTTCTACTCCTGTAAGGATTTACACCCTCGGAAACCCTGTACAGGGTCGCTATGGGTCGGAACCGACTCGACGGCACTTAACAACAACAACAACAAGAGGAAGTAGGATAACTGTTGTTCCATGGAGGGGATTGCAATCATTGAGATGACACAAAGTATATGATTTGTTGAATGTAAAACTGATGATTTTTTCTGTAAATCTTCACTCAATTTGCACACAAAAAGGATTTTTAACAAAAGTATTTATACTAAGAGAATAATATATATATATATCAATCCACTATATAAAGAAAGATTGAGAAGTATACAAAGGAAGTTTTGAGGAGTAAATCAATCAATCAATCTGTGTTAGAAGTACAGCCAGAATATTCCTTAGAAGACACGATGGCAAGACTTCGTCTCTCATACTATCAGGAGAGACCAATCCCTGGAAAAGGACATCATTCTTAGTAAAGTAGAGGGTCAGCGAAGAAAGGGAAGACATGCAACAACATGGACTGGCAAAATGGCAGCAGCAATGGTCTCAAGTGTAACAAATTGTGAGGATAGTCCAGGGCCTGGCAGTGTTGCATTCTGTTGTGCATAGGGTCGCTATGAGTCAGCACCTAACTATAACAACAGTAGTATTTAGTGTTTTGTAGTCCTGGTGTGGCACTATAGGGTAATCACAAGGTTGGTGATTCAAACTCATTGCTATATGTTAGAAACAACTCAAAGACACTTAACAATAATGGTCATGTTTTGTTTTTTAATCTGGGTGCTGTTACATGGATGTGATCATTTTGTGAAAATACAATTTACGATATGGGTATATAATTTTCTATATCATATTTCAATAAAATCTTTAAAAAAAACTTTTAAATTAAATAAGCAAACAAAACTGGAAAATATAGGGATAGAATGTTACAAAAAGGGCATAGTATCTATATTTCATTAAAAATTTAGTTTCAATTGATAAGGAAAACTTCAAGAACCCAATAATTATGTTGGCTAAAGAAAAGATACAGGCAGTGTACAGAAGAAAAAATATATTTTAAACAAAATGAAATCATTCTACTTTGATTTTATTTTATTAACAAAAAATGTGTTTAAATGATAACAAGTATGCTAGTGAGATTGTCATAAAACTTGTTTACTCAAACATGGATGGTAAACTGATAAAAATTCTGTAGTGGAAGCACTGTGACAACAAGTATCAAGATCTAGGTATATATTAATAGTCATTGCCTCAGTAATTCCACTATTGACAAGTTAGTCTACAAAAATGATTCAACTAAATAGAAAGACTACACTAATGAAGGTAGTCATTATGCTCCCTGGCATAGAAGCAAACTGGAAACAACCTTAATAAATATTTAAATGGTTAAATAAATGACAGTAGATCAGTGCTATGAAATAATATGCAGCAGTTAAGAATTATAATTTTAAAGGCTCGTAATAATTTGAAAAAAAAAATTGATAAAGAAAACCAGGGGAAAAAGTCATTTTCAATTCCTAACAAACCAACTATTTATGGTTTTGCGTGCTCCATTATGGTCTTTGTCTACATGTAGTTATACCACCAATTTGTGTAACTCTTATAGTTGAATCAGTCACCTAATCTAAGCAACCAGATAGTCATCTAATAACAATATGCACACTAATATATTATTCTGAATATGTATGGAATTTTAATTGAATATTTACTGTGTGTCAGGCAGAAAGACTTGGCTACATACTCTCATTTTAGCATCATAACAAACCTGTACAATATGTATGTTATATCTAGAAAATTATGCTTAGAGATATTAAGTAATTTTCTCAAGGCCACATAGCTAGTACACAGCTTGCCTGGTAATTGAACCGAGGACTAACTCTGAAGACTACACTCTTAATCACTATGCAGTATTGTTTCAATTATAATGTTTGTGTTTTCTCTTTCTAACTAGATTGTTTTAGATAATTTAAAAATGGTTGCAGCAGTACATCAGATAGTGAGCTGCCAGATATTTATGCCGGATTCAGAAGAGAACATGAAATGAGGTATATCATTGCTGACACCAAATGGATCTTGGCTGAAAGCTGAGAACACCAGAAAGATGTTTCTTTGTGTTTTATTCACTATGCAAAAGCATTCAACTGTGTGGATCATAAAAAATTATGGATAATATTGCAAAGAATGAGAATTTCAGAACACTTAATTGTGTTCATGTGGAACTTGTACATAGACCAAGAGGCAGCTATTGAAACAGAACAAGGGGATACTATTCTGTTTAAAATCAGGAAAGGTGTGCATCAGGGTTTTATCCTTTCACATGCAAATGAGGCGTTTTCAACCACCTCATATTCATGTGAAAACTGGACAATTAATAAGGAAAACTGGACAAGTAATAAGAAGAATTGATGTATTTGAATTATGGTGTTGGCAAAGAATATTGAAAGTACCAAGGACTGCCAAAAGAACTAACAAATCTGTCTTGGAAGAAGTACAGCCAGAATGCTCCTTAGAAGTGAGGATGGTGAGACTTTGGACATGTTTTCAGAAGTGACAAGTCCCTGAAAAAAGACATCATGCTTGATAAAAGAGAAGGTCTGCAAAAAAAGGAAGACCCCTAATGAGGTGGATTGATGCAGTGGCTACAACAATGGACTCAAACATAATAATTGTGAGGATAGGACTGGGCAATGTTTCGTTCTGTTGTGCATAGGGTCGCTATGAGTCTGAGCCAACTTAGCAGCGTCTAACAAGAACAGTAACAACTAGATTATAAAGACTAGGAAGACAAGGATTGTACTTTAAGTTCCCTTTGTAGACACTTCAGTGCTATACTAGCTTCTATATGTATATTGTTATTCATTGCCATCAGATTGGTCATATGGAATTTCCAAGGAGCAGCTGGTGTATTTGAACCACCAACCTCGTAGTTCAAACCAACCTTGCGGTCCAGTGCCTTATCCCACAATGCCACAACAGGACTCCATAATCAGTGCTCAATAACTATTTGACCAAAGCCTAAATGGAGGTGAAGCTAGCTGAAAATTCCAATGACTTCAAAAAAAGATTTAGACTTTAAACACATTAATTGTTGACATATTCATAATGAATTACTAAAAGAAACAAGGACAGATGGGTCAATCCTTACTTCACCCCTGAGATGCTTTCACAATTTGTTGCTCCTTCATGGGTTGACCGGAATATTTGTGTCTTACCCAGTGTGATCATTCTTAGATGATTAGGCTTCTCTTCTGTTTTCTAGAAACTCTTAGCTTAAAGTGGCCTCCTAGCTGCTGGCCCTTTTTCTTGTTTGGCTTTGCTAGATGCTACACTTTCTCTTGTACATTTGAACGAGGTAGGATACTTATAGGAGGGAGCTATTAAAATTCAACAAGCCAAATTTTATCAATAAGTTCATCAACAAATAATTATGGCATGGCCTCAGACAAGCTGTGGCCCTGAGCCTCAGCTGTCTCATCAGTAACATAGAATCAAATAAACTGTCCCTCCAGTATTCCAGTATTGTCTGAATTTAATATTTGATAGTTTAATATGGAGAGATCGGAGCCTTGGAATCTAAATAGGATTAATTATCTGTGTACAGGTAATAGTTGAAACAACCTCCATTCTCTCACCGACTGCATCTAGAAACACCCACTGCTGAAGGTGAGAGCTGTAAAGTCAAAGTCAGACGTCTGCTTTATAATCTGGTATGGCCTTTAAGAAAGATTTAAGGGAGTGGGAATCTTGTGTAGGCAAGAAAGATTAAGGGACAGTGAGGTGGAAACTCCCAAGCTGTTTTCCCTTGCTTTCTCCTCCCAGAATCACTGACTGACTAACAAAGCACAAAGGTAGAAAATGCCCAGGAAGCTTCTTATCCTGTTCTTATTCTCTGAGGAAAATAAGAAAAGGCCGCCCTACCCCCTTTTATACTCCCCGCCCAGCTGGGCTTAATATCTAGGATGGGAAACAGTCTCCAGCTCCATACAGTGCCTTTTGCAAATCCTAGGAGTATGTGGTGTGGTGTGGTGTGGTGTGGTGTGGTGTGGCGTGGCTGTGTGTATGTCAGGAGGAGGATTGGCACAGTGTGACTGATTGTATGTGTGGTGTGTGTAAGGAGGAGGATTGGAGGGTGGAATCCCATGACGTTAGTGGCTCCACCTCCCGATGTATATTAGGGGTGCTTGGCGCGCAACGACCCCAAGCAGCAGCTTTGAAGCCTGAGGAACCAAACTCAGTAGCCAACTAGGTTTAACTCAGCCTCGCCGAACCGGATCCAGAACTCTCCACTCCCTGGGCTTGCAGCCGCTTTCTGGTAAGCCTCGGGACTGACACGTGGGTTGGTGAGGGGACAGCGATGGTCTGAGCATACCTAGAATTCTCTGGTAAACGTAGCATACAGTTGCATCAACGGTGCTATGACCTGTTGCTGGCAAGACCCCAGCCCTGGGAGCCAGGGTTCTCATCTGCGCCCCTTCTTTAGATTGTTTCCAGTTGGGGGCACAAGAATAAGGGAGCTAAGTTAGGGGGCATCGGGCAGAACCCCTCCTCCTTGCCGAGAGGACAGCATAGATATCGCTGCTGCTTTGGAGCCTCTCCAAATCTTTAGATGCCCAAGCCCTGCCTCAAGGTTAACGCTTACTGGGCCAGCCTAGAGGGGCGGGAGGAAGGGGATGGTATTTGCTTACCTCCTCCCCCTCCCCGGTGACGGCAGCTTCAGTTACTTGGTATGGCTTGGTGAGGAAGGATGGAATCAAATTGAGTCAGTGATGACTTTTCATCTGCAGCCTCTATCAGTTTCCCCCCATCCAAGCGGCCTGGGGGGGGGGGGTCGGTCATGCTTATTTAAGACCTGAGGGAAAGCCCTGAAAATGAACATGGGTATTATATATGAGAAGGGAGATCACCCCAGAGTTACTGCCCCCTCCCCCCGGGCCAAATTCTGTTTAATTCCAAAGAAGCCACAGACCAGGGAACAGACACAGATTAGTATCCGAACTCTTTGGGTTTGGGTCTTGGGTAAATCCTATAGTTTCCCAGTCAGAGAAAAGAAAATATTGACTGAGCACCTACTAGGCGTCAGCCAATGTACTATTGGGGGCTTTCACATGCCTTCTGTGAAATTAATCCTTCTGAAAATCTTATGAGGTATTGTAATTTTTATTTATATACAAAGATACTGAGGTTAGAGGTAAAGTGACTTTGTCTTTTTAATGCTCCCTCTTATCCTTTTCCATAGCTCCTTTACTTGGTGGAGTGGGTCTTGTGTTCAGGCTTCTCTCCAATTCCAGCTAGAATGCTGTGGCAGGCACTTCGCAGACTTGGTCAAAAACTGGTTCGCAGACGTACACTGGAGTCAGGCATGGTTGAAACTCGCCTTAACAGATGTCTGAACACTCTGGATTTAGTGGCCCTGGGTGTGGGCAGCACTTTGGGTGCAGGTGTGTACGTCCTGGCTGGTGAGGTGGCCAAAGACAGAGCAGGACCATCCATTGTAATCTGCTTTTTGGTGGCCGCCTCATCTTCTGTGTTGGCTGGGCTGTGCTATGCAGAGTTTGGTGCCCGAGTTCCCCGTTCTGGTTCTGCATATCTCTACAGCTATGTCACTGTGGGTGAACTCTGGGCCTTCACCACTGGCTGGAATCTCATCCTCTCCTACGTCATCGGTGAGATGGTGGGGCAAGGAGGGAACTGCACAGCCTTTGAAAGGGTTTTGGGTCATGAGATCAGGGTGGAATGGTGAAGCTGAGGTATTCATAGGACCTCAATACCCCTAATATGTTCGTTTGTTGATTGAAGCTGGGATGGTTGGAGGTATGGAATGTTTGTTCCATTCTATGCACCTTTGTCCTGATTTCCTTAATTAAGTGGTTATTTTTGAGAAGGTGAAAATGATAAGGATTTGTGTGAGACTCTTGTTGGAGAGGGAGGGAAGAAAAAAAACAATTTGGCACCATATTTCTCCATCTGCTCCACAGGTACAGCCAGTGTGGCCCGGGCCTGGAGCTCTACTTTTGACAACCTGATTGGGAATCACATTTCCCAGACCTTGCAAGGAAGCATCTCATTTCATGTACCTCACATCCTTGCAGAATATCCAGATTTCTTTGCTATGGGCCTTGTGTTGCTGCTCACTGGTGAGAAAAGGGACAGAGATAATGATGGAGGAGGGGGAACTAGGAGAAGTCCCAGGAAAGGCTTGATGGAGGTGATAATGGTGGGGGAGACGGGAAGCTGGGAAGGAAAGGTCAACCACATGTAGACAGGGAGAGAAAACTTGAACTAACAACTTTTTCCTCAGGGTCCTGAATGCATTTCTCCCACAGGATTACTGGCTCTGGGTGCTAGTGAGTCAGCTCTGGTTACCAAAGTGTTCACAGGGATGAATCTTTTGGTTCTTGGCTTTGTCATCATCTCTGGCTTCATTAAGGGAGATCTGCACAACTGGAAGCTTACTGAAGAGGACTACGAAATGGCTTTGTCTAGATCTAATGACACCTATAGGTTAGGAGATTCACTCTTAGGAACTGCAGAGCTGGGAACATGGTGGGGGAATATGAACAAAAGGGTTCTGAATTGGGGGTGGAGTGGGATGGAATCCTGGGCCTTCAAGACCTAGTTAAGTAGTTTGACATTATAAAAAAGGTACATACCCTTAACCTTTCCCATCCCTTATTTCACTCTAGCTTGGGCCCTCTGGGATCTGGAGGATTTGTGCCTTTCGGTTTTGAGGGGATTCTACATGGAGCAGCTACCTGTTTCTATGCATTTGTTGGTTTTGACTGTATTGCTACCACTGGTAACATAGTCATTCTGTTCTGTCTGGGTTTTGGGCACAGTGTTACATAGACTGCATGCAGATGAGGGGTGGTACAGCAGTGAGCCTGCTTCCCTGATTCAGAACCTTGTGCCCCTTTCTGCAGGGGAAGAGGCCCTGAATCCCCAGCGTTCCATCCCCATGGGCATTGTGATCTCACTATGCATCTGCTTTTTGGCATATTTTGGTGTCTCTTCTGCACTCACACTCATGATACCTTACTATCAGCTTCAGCCTGAGAGCCCTTTGCCTGAGGCATTTCTTCATATCGGATGGGCCCCTGCCCACTATGTTGTGGCTATTGGCTCACTCAGTGCTCTTTCTACCAGGTAAGTGTCAAATGTTACTTCTATTCTGCTGTCAGAGTCTCAGATACCAGAGTATAACCTTTTGGGCTCTGGGGGAGAGGCAAATATCCCTTACCCACACAGGCTTAGGAAGAGAGATCTCAGCCAATTCATACCACTCTGAGCATTCTCCTCTCCAGCCTCTTGGGCTCTATGTTCCCCATGCCACGGGTGATCTACGCAATGGCAGAGGATGGCCTCCTGTTTCATGTCCTTGCCCGGATCCATACTGGCACACACACACCCATCGTAGCCACTGTAGTCTCTGGCATTATTGCAGGTGAAAAATTCCCTTTCTCCTCTTCACAGTTGTTTCATCAACTCCTTTAACTTTGCTAATCCCTTTAGTGTCTCATTTTTCTTTTTCTTCTCCTTAATTTTAGCATCCATGGCATTTCTCTTTAAACTGACTGATCTTGTGGACCTCATGTCAATTGGGACCCTGCTTGCTTACTCCCTAGTGGCTATTTGCGTTCTCATCCTCAGGTGAGACTCCCTTCCACCCTATCCTATGATTTGAGTTTTTGTTTTGGAATGAATGATGGGGATTTGCTCCTCTGTTCTCATCTGCCTTCATCCTGGTTTTTTTTCACAGCGACAAAGTTGTAAATAAGAAGCTTAAGCTGCCTGGAAGGAGGTGGTAACGTGGTTAAGGGTTGTTCTTAATACTGTCTTGCTACTCCTACCTTAGGTATCAGCCTGACCAGGCGATAAAGAATGGTGAAGATGAAGTAGAGTTGAAGGGGGAGAAGACACCTGAAGCAAAGAAGTTGACTCTTAAGGGACTATTTTGCCCATTCAATTCCATCCCCACAGTACTTTCTGGCCAAGTTGTCTATATTTGTTCCTCACTGCTTGGTGAGCAGTGGGAATTTCCTCTGGGATGATTCTAAGGTCAACATGATGGGGTGGGAGTGTATGGCATTTGGTAGTAGAAGTAGAACTAGAGAGACCCTACTTGGAATGGAGTGCATAACATCTTAACATATTGGTCTCAAGAGTTGGTTTTGGTATCTCTCAATTTGACCCTTTAAGCTCTACTGCTGACCATCCTATGCCTTGTGCTGGTCCAGTGGCCAATTCCACTACTTTCTGGAGACCCAGTGTGGATTGTAGTAGTTGTTCTGCTCCTGATATTCATTACTGGTATCACTTGGGTCATCTGGAGACAGCCACAGAGCTCTACTTCTCTTCAATTCAAGGTAAATGACCTCTCTCTTTTTCTCTACTAACCTGCTTTGGAGGAATAGCCTCCAGATAGTTCGAGGTCTCATAACGTGTGGCACTGTGAGTTAATGCACCAGACTGCAAAGCAGTTTGAACTGCAAGGTCGGCAGTTCAAGCTCACCAGCCACTCCTCGGAAACCCTATAGAGGGTCACTATGGGTCGGAACCGACTCAACGGCACTTATCAACAACAACAAGGTTCATTATGTGCCAAGGAGTCGGTTCCGACTCATAGCGACCCTGTACAGGGTTTCTGAGGCTGTAAATCTTTACAGGAGCAGAAAGCCTCATCTTTCTCCGGCAGAACAGTTGGTAGTTTCGAACTGCTGACCTTGTGGTTTGCAGCCCGATTCATAACCACTACTGTTTAATTGGACAAGAAAGGGAAGGAATAGGAGGTACCTAGGCCAAAGTCTTCTTCTCTGATGCTTTTTAGTTCTTTTACTGTTCCATTTACCCAAATTCTGCATATTCTAAATAAGTGGGTTCTGAAATACACAGCATGAATTGTTGCTAAGTGCCGTTGAGTTGGTTCTGACTCTTAGAAACCCTGTACAGGGTTTATGAAGAGCAGCTGGTTAGTTTGAAGCACCGACTTTGCAGTACAAACCGACCTTGAGGCCAAGTGCTTATTCTATGGCGTCACACCAGTAGGGGTTGGATTTTCCCTTCCCTCTCTGGGTAATGTAGAGGTCACCCTGTGGTATTTATAAAGATGATTTACTTTGTTCCCAGGTTCCTGCTTTGCCTCTTCTCCCACTGGTGAGCATCTTTGTGAATATTTACCTGATGATGCAGATGACAGCTGGCACCTGGGCTCGATTTGGGGTCTGGATGCTCTTTGGTAATTATCTTTTTGGGCAGAGTTGACCTCTTGGGTGCCCTATCCCAACTCTTGGTCTCAAGTATGAAATTGTTAAACTTTTGTAAGTGAATACTTTCTCACCTCACAACTACATTTCCCCACTAGGGTTTGCTATCTACTTTGGCTATGGGATCCGGCACAGCCTGCAAGAAGTTAAGAGTGACCAATCTCCACTCAAGTCTAGGGCTAAAACTGATCTTAATCTCAGCAGTTCCTATGCCCATTCAATTTGACAAAATCATACCTGAATTCTGTGTGTTCCTCCCACATAATAATGATATACCTCCTGACCCCAGTCAGAGCTAGACCTCCATTAGATATTGGTGGGGGCCACTAATAGAACTCTGTGTTTATTGGAGTGAAGGATATATCTTTGATGCTTCATGTCTACTTTTTTTTACTTGTCTACTTTTTGATTGTGTCTATAATTTCTTATTGGGTTTAGAAATGATTATTAAAAGAAAGTAAATTAAGAAACTGTGTACGTCCTATTCTTGGCTTGCTGGGGATGATGAAGAGCCTAAATTTAGGGGTGAAGAGCTTCATAAAAGGTCCTTTGTTTGCTCCAAACACTGTATAAGCATCTTTTTTTTTTTTTTAATTTAAGGTTTTTATTGTGGATTGAGTGAAAGATTACAGGGCACATCATCAGTTTCACATTCAACAATTCATATAACTTG